ATGTATGGATTCTGATACGAGTTGTATGAGCTCCCAATAAAATGATTTAGAAAACAAAACAAAAAATATAGCATCAGGATTGGAGGAAGACTCAGTAACAGCCTGCAATAGCATATGGCACAAGCTTGCTTGCCGAATGCAAAGAGGACTTGAAGCACTGACTGATCAAGACTAAAGACCACAGCCTTCAGCACGGATTAAGTATACCTCAACATAAAGGAAGCAAAACCATTCACAACTGGACCAATAAGTAATGCTATGATAAATGGAGGACATTTTGACATTCTCAAGAATTTAATTGGATTTGTATCCATCATCAAAGCACATATTGTACTGTCTTATCTGCTGCAGAAGACCTCTTAAAGTGCTCCAAAAGAAAAGATGTCGCCTTGCAGGCACACCTTAGCCTCAGAGGTGGGGACAGAGAGCCATGAAGCAGGAAGAACGAGGAAGAACTGATGGTTTTGAATGATGTTGCTGGCAAAGAATATTGAATATTATGAATTGTCAGAAGAACACACAAATCTGTCTCAGAAGCAGTACAGCCAGAATGCTCTTAGCAGTGAGGTTGGCCAGAATTTGCCTAAGTCCTTTGACGTGTTATCAGGAGGGACTAGTCCCTGGGGAAGAACTTCATTCTTGGTATAGCCCAGGGTCAGGGAAAATGGAGAAGGCTCTCAATGAGATGAATTGAGGAACGATTGTGAGAATGGCGCCGACGTGGCGTCCTATTGCACACTGGTTCACTACGAGTTGAACCAGCGAGTCACTGGCACCAACGACATCACTAGAAGCAGGGAAGGACAGAGCTTACTAGCTGAAACCCTGACAGAAAATTATATATTTCCTCTCAAATTCATACTCAAATAGAATCAGCCTACATTTAGTGTTTTAAATAGATTACGTTTCCCAAACTCTAGACGACAACAGCTAAGAATTCCTTAGTTGTTGTTTTTTGTTTGTTTGTTTTCCCCCAGTGAACATTATTGCAATAGTTTTTTAATGCTATTGATGTCTGTGTTTTGAGTTTAAATGTTTAAAAGAAATTCAACTACTTAGAATAGAAGGTAAATCCAAAGAATGGAGAACTACTACTTTGAAGTTCATGAACTAATTTTTACCAACAACCTCATTCCGCCTTCTGTGGGCCATTACTTCCTAATACGCATCACATTCCAAGTCACGTTGCTCTGGAAGCTAGAGGAGCACTGTGGAGGCCAGGAGAATACACCATCTGTCTTGGAAGAAGTACTGCTAGAATGTTCCTTAGAAAAAGGATGATGAGACTCCGTGTCACATCCTTTGGACGGGGTATCAAGATAGGACAGTCCCTGGAAAGGACACCATGTTGGTAAAGTGGAGGGTCATCAAAAAAGAGGAGGGTCCCCAACAAGATCTACTGACACAGTGGCTTCAACAATGGGCTCAAATAGCAATTGTAAGGATGGGGCAGGGCTATGCAGGGTTTCATTCTCTTGTACACCGGATGGGGATGAGCCAGAACTGACTGGCATCCAACAACAGCCCCGTAGATGGCCTCAAAAATCTGCATGATGTGGCCTCTGACTACCTCTCCTACGTCCCTGTCATCTTCTGGCTCTCTAGTTAGCCCCGGGCTTCTCTCAAATCCTTGGGGGTGTTAGCATCTGCCTCCATTTTGTTCGTCACGATCCTTCAGGGTTCACTTACAATGTCAGTTCCAATGTCAGCACAGGTGGCTGCCTCTAACACCAATGTGATTCGCATCTCCTCTAATTTTTCTTTTCAGAACACTTGCCCCCTTCTGTGTAAGGATTTGATTAATGTCATCTTCCCTCTCTAGAGATTAACTTCTATGGGACACCCTGTACTTCCATCACTGAGCAACCAGCCTATAGTGATACTGACTGCCTCTCTGTTGAAGAAAGAATTACTGAATCTAGATTATAATATGTATACTCCTTAGAATGCAAACTTTAGGAAGGATGATCTTCGTTTTGTTTGCGATTACATGCCTATGCCTTAAAGTGAAAGAAAACAAAACAAAACTGATGGCCATTGAGGAGAGTATAGTGTCCCCAAAGCACAGCATAGAACTGGTCCTGTGGGTCTCTAAGGCTGGAAATCTTTTTGGGAGCAGAAAGCCTCATCTTTCTTCCATGGGACAGCTGGTGGGTTTGAAGAACCGACCTTATGATGTTTGTTGTTGTTAGGGACCATCCCAGTAGGTACCCAGTAGGCCACTGAGTAAAAGACTGATGACAAGGATGTCATCTTGCTTGGATCCACAATCAATGTTCATGGAAAGAGCTGTCATAAAATCAAAGGACATGTTGCACTGGGTAAATCTGCTGCTTAAGACCTCTCTGAAGTGTTGAAAAGCAAGGGTGTGGCATTGAGGACTAAGGTGCTCCTGACCCAAGCCACCGTATTCTCCATTGCATCCTATGCATGTGGAAGCTGGGGCTTGAATCGGGAAGACCGTATGGCTAGCTCGCAGGCTCAAATGCAACCTGCTGTGCCACCAGAGCTCTCCCAGAGCCTCGTATTGTCTTTAGGAAGACGGTCTAGTAGACACCAGCTGAAATCCAGTGTGGCCCATATAAATCCAATCCAATCACATCAAACCCACTGTCATTGGGCTGACTGAACCCCTTTCCACCCATAGGACAGAGTCAAACTGCCTCTTTGAATTTCTAAGATCGTACATCTTGAAGGGAGCAGAGAGTGCCCTCTGTTTTCCTGCCACGTGGCAGGTGAGTGTGGACCACTGACTCGGTGCTTGGCAGCCCAGTGCTTACCCCACGGCATCACTGGGGTTCCTCGCACCTACAATGCACAGCTTATTGCAGAAATAATTCAGAAAAGGCGCAAGTTATAGAAGAGGGTCCTCGGGAGGGCTTCCTGAAAGTAGTGACACCCATGCTTAGTTTTTAAGAACAAGAAGAAGTTAATTGAATAAATAACCTGAAGGGTGGAAGAGAGAAATGAGACCCAATGACTTGTTTAGGGAATTACAAGAAATTAAGCACGGGAAGCGCAAAGCACAGCGCTCTTGAACTAGAAGCAGGGAGCCTCTCAGTGAAGCTTAGAGAGGTGACACGTTAATTCCTCCACCTCCACCCTCATCACCCAGTCCCCCAGTGAACACTTCTTTTTTTAGAGGCAATAGAAAAGTCGTTTTCAGCATGAGTGACAGTTATGGCAAATGCAGGCTTATAAATTAGCACAAGCTGCTATTATTAGTGTTCTAGGGGAAATAATTGAAACTGCTTACAGAGCTCCAGCAAAGACACTGGTAAGAACACTTTGCATCTGCAATCCAATGCTCCTGTGCTCTAAACCAGACCCAATGCTGTTGGTTGACTTTGAGTCACAGCAACCTTATGAGGCAAACTAGAATTGCTCCACAGGGCTTCTGAGACTGTCAGTCTTGCCGGGAGCATACTGCCATCTTTGTGGCTGGTAGTTTGGGGGTAGCAGCCCAATGCTTAACTCACTGCCCCACCAAAGCACCTTGCCTTTGTGCTCAATTTCCATTAAAAATCAAGGAATCAAGAGTAATTGATGGGCACTTTCATGAGGTGGGCTCAGAGAACCAGATGAACTACTGTATCTCCGGACAGCCCATCAGGAGAAAGAAAGGAAAGTAATTTATTTGCCAGTTCTCTCCTATCCTCCCTCTCTGACTGGTTAAAAATCTGTCCCATGAGGTGTTAACTCCTTTGCTGAACTATGACCTGGCATCTCTAGACACCCAGGGGAAGCTGAGCTTACACACTGCTTCGTGGATGTGGGCATTTGTTTGTCAAGTTTTGGGCCACCCATTATCTTTGGGTTCATTTTCTATTTGGAGAATGTTCTCATTTCTAAAAGTCTGCCTGTCCCAAGAAGAATACGGAAATTCTCTTGACAATAGTTATCAAGTCTGGACTCGGCCAATCAGATCTACTTGGCTGAAACCTTCATGCGGAAGTGAGCAGTGTATCGCAGAATCTGTTGTGACCGACAGAGGGAGACACATCACCCTTCAGGGACCATTGGCAGAGTCAGAGCAGTAGCCGCTAGTGTCCACGTGGGATGGGAGAGGGCAGGTAGCCAAAGCTGACTGGCTGGGCCCAGAGCAGCAGCAGTGGGGGGTCCCTGGGGCCATCTGCTGTGTGTAACTTAAGTGGAGTCTTTGGTCTCATTGAATTCATGGTTAATTTTCTGGCCCTCGCTGTGATTCTGAGCACAGCAACATACCTTTACTAAAAGTCTTTTTCTGCTGAAACTGCTGGGGGCAGGTTTTGTTGTAGGAAACCAAGAACCCTAAAAGACACAAGTCACCTAAAAATAAAATTTGAGCTGTCTCCAGATTAAGCCGCAGTTTCTGATACTAGTGTGTGTGGGAAGGAGCTCATTCAAGTCTATCTCTTTTACAGCCCAGAACCAGAGTGCTCTGGAATCTCTGGAATACCAGAGAATGGTATTCTACCACTCACCTTTAGCTTTCAGCCACATTTCAGATCACACCCACTTGAGGGAATCAATTTCCTCCTGAAACCAGAAAAAAAAAGGTGATTTATACAGATTAAAATGTCTTTGAGAGAACAAATTTCTTCCTGAAACCAGAAAAAAAGGGGAGCAGGAGGTGATTTCTGCAGACTATGATGTCTCTGTGCCAGCCAGCCAGTGAATAGGGCTGAGAAGGCATTCCTGGGAAAAAATTATTTATGTGAGAGACAGGTGATGGACCTGCAGACTGTAACCTAGTTTAGTCAGGCACTTTCGGTAGAAAAAAGCCAGCGACCTATATGTGAGTACTTTCCCTGCAATATCTGCAGAAACCAGGTCACTATTTCTAGCCCGTACTTTGTTCCCTGTTCTCTCAGCAGAAGCAATGTCACAAATTTCCTTTGGATTAGGTTGCTTGGAGAATTTGCAGTAAAAAACAAAATTTCAAGTCAGGATTGACAGGACTCATTGGAAGTGTTAGTCCAGAAGTATTTGCGTATGTCCCAGCAGTCTTAGACATTTAAAAGCTTCTGGGGAAATGTCCTTTGAGTTTGGTTTAATTTCTCTCTTAGATGGAAAATTACAATGGTCCAAAGGGCCATGAGTTTGCTCTGTGATTCCCGGAGGAGGGCGGAGTGAGCGAGTGAGTGAATGAGTATGATTGTTAGGCTGAGGTTGGAGTCAGGATCACCACTCCCCTCCCTCAAAGTTTCATAGGCTGCTCTCCCGGTTTAGAGTGTGAAAGAGCAGAGCTATGTCTTGGGCTTCGGTCAGGCTGATCGGAGGCATTGTATGCAAAGTTCATTAACAAGGTGGCCATTTGGAGCCTAGAGAATTCAGCTCCAAACAGAACACATAAAACTGAATTTGATTATGATCAATTTTGGACACAAAAAACCTAGAAAGCAATCCCTCTTGCAAAGGCAAGAGAAGTAGCTTTATAAGGACAGATTTACCTAAAGCGAAGCACTCTAGAACCATCTGGGAATATTCAGCTCCTCCTATGGCTCCTGCCATCCCTCTCTGTTTGGTGCCTCTTGCACAAACCCACAGTATATGTGGTCTCCTTCATAAAGAAACACTGTTTCTGATGGGATGGGTCATATCTCTCAGCGAATTAGGCTAAAAGGAGATTAAGAAGCAGTAACATTAAGAGAGGTGGGGTTGGGGAAGGTGGGGGAGGATAGGTCTTATAATACTTGGCTTCCCTTCCCCCTTAATTTCAAATGATAGTAAATCTACTTTCACTGGACTTGAACCTTTAATTTGAAACTCCATTCTTAGTAAGTGGTGGCATTGACTTCTGCCCCTTCTTTTTGGCATCTTTCAAAGTACACACACACACTCTCTCTCTGTCTCTCACTTACTTACACATCAAATTCAAACATAAAAAGAGTGTATGGTGATGAGTTAGTCTAACTCCCAATCTGGACACCCAGATTTCTGTGTAACCTTATTAAAAGCAATGCTAGTTACTTGTTTTCATATATTCATATATGCAAGCAAATACATGTGTGTGTAGTTTCCAGTAGGCAAGCAAATACATCCATAATGTATTCTTTTCTTATATAAGTATTTACACACTATGCCGGAGAGGAGCGAGGACATCACTATGAGAACCAAGCCATTGTGTTTTCATTCGCCTCCTATGTATGCGAGAGGGCAACAGGCAATAAGGAAAACTGAAGAAGAACTGATGTGTTTGAACTATGGTGCTGGCAAAGAATATAGAAAGTATCCTGTGCTGCCAGAAGAATGAATAGGTCTTGGAAGTACAGTCAGAATGCTCTTTGGCAATGAGGGTCGTGAGATTTCATTTCACATACTTTGAATGGATTGTCAGGAAAAGGACCTCGTGCTTGGTAAAGTAGAAGGGCAGTCAAAAAGAGAAGAACCCTCAACAAGATGGATTGGCACAGTGGCTACACCATGGGCTCAAACAGAAGAATTATTGTGAGATTGGCGCCGGACTGGGCAGTTTTCGCTCTGCTGTACATCGGGTTGCAAAGAGTCAGAACCGGCCGACATTCATGGCTCCTATCAACAGTGAATACGTAGGTCTACATATGTATCAACATGAAAAAAAATTACAAAAACAATATTGGATTAAAAGGAAAATTGCAAAAGAGTTTTCATAGGATGGTTCTCTGATAAAAATTTAAAAATATATAAACAATATAACATTGTTTATGGACTTATACCTGTGGAATGGAAATGTGAAATGTGCCCAGAAAGGGTACTTTCAGACGACTGCTTTAGCAGGAGGGGAG